AAACATAAATATAAAAAAAAATTGCATGTGTTTTTGTTGAGCACTTACAGGCTTTTATGGCTCATATAGTCTGAGAATATGGAGGAAAAAACGGCTCAGTTTTATTCAGAGGCCCAAACTGAGCAAAAATATGTCATTTGGTGCAGATGCTGGAATTTATATGGCCAAAAAGGGATGAAATTCTGATGCATGTAATGTAAATCAATGAGATCTTTATAACAGTATAGTAGATAATTACATAAAATGTAATAAATATCAGCCGTCACTCTATATCGCCAATGATCTGTCTCAGTAAGATGAGATTGAAATGATCCAAACATAAAATACAATACAATCCAATGATGAGAGATGAACAAATAAACGCTCCTCAGAAGATGTGAGATGTTCTGGAGGCTTGTGAAGATCAACAGTGAAAGTAAACATTCCTCAAAAGATCCTGATGATCAGATTTGAGACGCACTGATTTTTCTAAAACATGATTGATGGAGAATCAAGTAAAGCTGAGCTGAATCAGTCCAGTAAGTGTTCATCTGGAAATACTGATAACAGTCCCAAAGTTATTTTTATGTTCTCTTTATAAAAATAAGATTTGACAGCAAAAAGTTTGTATACTAAAAGAGCGTTTACTTGCTAAACAAGTCTAAACTATCAATCAGACGACAGAATGCATGTAACAGATTGTGTACAACAGGTTTTTTTTAGCAAAATTTTGATCAGAAAGATGTGTATCAAATGTTATAAAGTATAGGCTTTATAGGGTTAATAACATGCATCATGCATCAAAAGGAGAGGAAATATCTTTAAAAACACTTAAGCATAAACATGTTTTTTGTGAACCAAAGTGTGTTTTGTGCATGTGAGAGGATGTAGTTTGTGTGTATGGTTATGGTTAGTGATTATATAACAACTTTAAAAGGTGTTGGAGAATCCCTCCCTATCAGGTGCATTTGATCAGATCTAAAAGAGCAACGAGATGCTTATATGCATAAAATGTCTGTTTTTATTTGAAACCCAAATGAGATTATCAGACGAAGCCTTTTTGTATTCCAAATAAATATAACTCAAATTGCTCATGGTGTATTTTGCTCATGCGCGTCTGTTATGTGAAGCACAGGACAGGAGCTGCGCGTTTGTTGCAGCGCTGCATGTGAGATGAGGTGATTACATAATAACCTCGGCGTCTCGGGATGCTGGAGGAGACGGTATCTTAGCAACGCTGGCACCGGAGACAATGAGACGAGCGCTCCGAATACGGACCTGAAGGAAACCCACTTATTCGACTAAAGCAAAAGATCCAGAGATGAGAGACGCGATCATCCGAGAACCGCACTGTCTCTCACCTCGCTATTAATAATTGAGTGAAGATCAACTTTCAGCTCTGAGGAATCTGCATTCAGCATCTGCATTCTTATTGCACATATTTCTGTCAGCCTGATAAATCAAACATACTGCTTTTGCACCAAGTCACAATCAGAGCCTGTTCTGACTAACTACTGTATCCACCTAACAACACCCTAGCAACCACTCAGATCACCATAGCAACCACCTAGCAAGGCTTTAATACCCTTCTAAACTTCAAATTGCACTCCAGAAGTGGCCAAATTCAGCCTAACTTTGTAGATCACCTGTCTGATTTTCACAGAAAACAACTGCATCGTTCAGCATTCAGTTCTAAAGCGCGTAAACACTGCAGTCAGAATGAACACGATTCACTCTCTGCTCATTTATAAAAGGCCACTAGATGAGCAACACGTACAGCTCAGAACATTTATAACCCACTAATCGTTCTTTTGATTATTCATGAGTCAAATTAGAAAAATTGGCCGTGTTAACTACAGTTTCACTCAAAAACTGTAAATAGGCCTATACATAGAGGTGTTTGCTAAGTCAAACAGACTATTGCTCAATTTTATGATTCATTAATGATTCAAACAAACCTCTTCATTAATACTAAACACATAATTGCATTTTAATATATTTAATAAAGAAAAACACTATATCTAGAGACTTTTTTATTTACTTGGGACTTGTAAGAAACATAGCAACCGTGTATATATATATATATATATATATATATATATATATATATATGATATGATATGATATGATATGATATGAAAAATTAAATCCTTTCTTTTCCATGTTCATTTTATGCTGAATATTATGTAAACACAAACTTTTATTTTGGATGCGATTAATCGATTTAATATATATATATATATATATATATATATAGGCCTATACATTTCACAAATTCTGTTTTTTTCTCCGCAGTTTTGAGTTTATGTTTCACTATCTGGACTTTTCTTCTCAGAATTGCGAGTTTTTATCTCTATATCGGAAATAAGTCATAAAACGGCTAAAACTAAAACTAATAAAGACAAATTTCTAAAAAACTACACTCATTTTTTTTTTAATTGACAAACACACACAACACGGTTACTAAAACTTTAACCAAAATTAAAGTGAAAACACAAAATCTAAAAGTAAAATTGAATTCAAAATATCTCCCGAAACTATAATAGTATATCAATAATTCTAAAATTACACTGCAACTGCAGCAACAGAAGCACCATAGCGTCAGTGTATAAGCTGGTGTTTACCATGGTTACTTATTGATTGATTGTAAAGTACTTTAAAATGTCAATGTATACTTAAAGTCAAATTATGTTGATCTTGTAATGCATACTACAAAACAACAGTACTACGGTCTTCTTTAATCATGTCTTGATGCTCTGGGTATTTCGTGTAGATGCAGATGATGAGACACTCTCGTGCACTAGTGATCCAGAGGACACAACAGATGCGCGAGCGGTGAACTCACCAGGTTTGTGACGTCATCCCGACGACAGGCCCCTGCGGCTCCGGAAGCTGCTGTCCCAGCATGCATCTGCTGCACACATGCGGATTAACTGATGGCTCCAGCTGTTCGGCTTCAACCGAGACTCCACCAACAACCAGTGCAAATACAACCAGACTAGTGCTGTTTAACCACAGCAGGCTGCATGCAATCAGGTCAACCTACTACTAACATGCCAAAAACAACTAAATCTGACTTCACCATCAACCAAAATGCCTGTTTTGCATAATAGGATTTTATTAGTTTAATAGGGATATATATATATTATTGCACTATTGTTCTATTTGATTTGTTAATACTACTTATTTACTCCACTATTGTTCTTTGATGTAAGCAATTTAAATGTTTTCGTAATGCTAAAGGAGTTGAATTAAAGTCTATGAGCGCCCTCTGCTGGTTAGATTAAATGCATCTAAAATGACACAAATTAATTTTAGTTTTTGATATTGTTATAAAACTCAAAACTTTATAACCAAACACGATTATTAGACTGTGCTAAAATATTTAACACAATTTTAATATTTATAAATGTTTAAATAATACTAGTTAGCACATCAACTATGAAATAAATATTAATAAAATAAAATAATAATAATGAAGTAAAATAAAAAACAAACTAAATAAAATAATACTCTGAAAAATAAACTGAGAAAAAAACAATGATAGTGTAAAAATTAGAGAAATAAACTGAAATATTAAAATAAATGAAATTAAAATTCATAAGCATTAAAATAATGAAGTAAATGAAAAATAACAATAAAATAAAATATAAATACAATAAAAAGTTAACTAAAATAAAAAATAAATACACTGAAACTGATATAAACAGAAAAAAATAGTGTGAAAATTAATTAAAAAAGAAAATGAAAAAGATAAAAATAAAACTAAATTAAAACATCACTGCTTTAATAACCTTGACACAATAACATAAATCAATACGGACATGTGCAAAGAAAGGAGAAGCAGGAGTTCAGTCTTTTTCATTTATTTGGTGATATGTCACAGGTGACAATAAACTTACAGGAAGTTATTTCTGTATTACAAATAAAGTATCATCTGTACATAGAGACAGCTGCAGGAAATAATCCAGAACAAAAACAAAACCACCATGGATCAGCTGGAGTAAAAACGCTTTAAAAAGAGACTGGGTCAAAAAAAAGAGAAAGAAAACGTGCTAGAAGCATGAAGACGAACACTGAATGCGATGCATGTGGAGTTTGATCCCTGGTTCAGTGGCAGACGCATGGCTAAAGACACGCAGATCTATGGCAGCGTTGAGCTCTGGGACGAATCGAAAACACCGAGCCGCAAATGTCCGAATATGGCACAGTCACTCGAAGTGAGAAAGAAAGACAAACCATGGTAGGAATTCAACAGTCAGACTCAAAATCACTCAAACTCCGGCTGCAAGACCTGCTTGTAAAGGCACGTAGTTTTTAAAGTAGTTATTGTCGACGTGAGCACATTCAAACATCTGATTGGACGTTGTGCGAGCAAACGAACGCTCGCAGAACAAAGACACGTGGGCTATGGGTCACGGCGTTTTTCTAGAAGTACAAAAGGAAATCAGTTCTATACTATATACAGATGTGACGTTTACACTCTAATCTACTCTCAAGACTATTTGGCTTGTTAATCGTACATCTAGTCTGACGTAACAGTGGCAGACGAGAGACAAGCAACTACAAAAGTACGCAACAGTATTTCCTGCTACAGGTTTACTACGCCTAGATCTACGGTTTCCTCAGAGTAATATTAAATGTGACGCTCGCTATACTGTACACGCTTCGCTATCGTTCAAATAAGTTAAACATTATTACCTTCAAACACGATTTAGGAACGTATGAAATGCAGGATCCAGATACTGTGCTGTTAAAATTAAGATTTATAGTGAAATTGTTCCCGGAACGGTTTTAAATAATACAAAATGTGACCTCAACTCGCAACATCCTTCATTTGTTTAATAAAATTGTCTTAAAATACCAGTAACATCGGCAATATTGCACCGTTTTAAGTTTTATATGTGAGTGAAAAAAAAAAGTCCAGGTTGTATTTCAGTCCCCGAGAAATTAAAAGAAATCAAAAATGTTTTAGGACAATTTTCATAACATTTCCAAATTCTCATTACTATAACGTGTTGGTGAAATTGTATTTAAATCAGGCAGTACAATGAATACTATTACATACAAAAAATAATAAATTATCTTTTTTTTTTTTTTTTGGATAAGAGTAATGAGAATGATTTTTTTTTGCACTTTAGTCATGAGAATCTGGGGTGAAATGTGCTCATTTGTCATGAAAAAATAATATCACAATGCAACATATGTAGAATAGGGTTTTTTGGGGGGAAAAATTACCTAGAATTTATAATATTCACCCATTTAGTTTATTTATCGACTGACGTCCTCCACTACAGCAGAGGGCGCTGATGGAGGGTAAAAATATTATTACAATAAATTAAAACAATGGTTCAAATGGTTAAGAGGCTGATGAGATTTCCTCGTTTTGAAGAATAAAGTAAACAGTCATTTCTAAAACATCCCACAATGCACTTCAGCCCAATATGGTCCGTCCTTTCGCAGCAATCGCAACACAAATTAATAAAATACTAAACGAATAGAAACCGAATGTGTAGAATACGACTTTTGTTAAACAAAATATATATATATAAAAAACCTAGATTTTATCATATTTAGCTTGTAAATCAACTGACGTCCTCCGCTACAGCAGGGGGCGCTAATCAAGGGAAAAAATTTAATAAAATAAATTAAAGCAATGGTTTAAATGGTTAAGACGCTGATGAGATTTCCTCGTTTAAACAGTAAACAGTCATTTATAAAACATCCCACAATGCACTTCAACCCGATACTGGCCGTCCCTTTGCAGCGATCGCAACACAAATTCATAAAAAACGAAACGAAACTGAATGTGGCGTGAGGCGATACTGACTGAAGGATGGAGTGCTGATGGGATGGAGTGAGGTTTCTGGGTCATTCTCGACCGTTACTTAAAGATGAAGTTGAGAAGGACCTGGAGGAAGATGAGGAAGAGGATGATGGCCACATCTCTATGCGTGAGGAACGAACTTTCTGTTGCCGACTGACTCGCCACTCGACTCCTCAAAGCGTTGACGCTCCTAGACGCCCGTAATGAGACAAACCAAAGTTAATATTCTCGTTTTTCAAGTATTTCTTAATAAAGTATGAGGTGAGAAAAGCCGTTTCACCTGTTAATGTCTTCCTGGGTTTTTCTGATCGACTCAATGGCACTTTGGATTTCACTCAGATCTGTTCCTTTCTTCCTGAGGCGGCTGTTGTGTTTGCTCTTGTGCCCTGAATGAAAGTTCATGATGAGTTTGTGGAGCATTATTAGCATGTTTGTGTGTGTTTCTGTGTGTTTGACGTACTCTCGCTGCCTGAAGAGTCCTGGTGGTCCGGCTCTGGAGACGAGCAGCCACTTTCCGGACTTTTAGGTTTGTCACTCTTATGTTTCCGCTTTGGTCCCGTCACCTGAACAAACGCCGATGAGAGCAGGACATTCACACGTTTCAGTCTCTATATTATGGTTAAGACAGTCTTGAATTGTGTATGTGATTCTCAGATATTTTTGAAAGGCTTCAAACAGGGTCCAAAATGAACTTTTTTCCACATCTGCCAATGGCAAGTGAGGTAGGAAAAAGTTTTACCAGCCATAAATATTAAATACTGGCCATTAAGCTGTATTTTTAGATTAAAAAGATGCTATTATCCATACAAAAATGGAATTATTAAGCAGTTTTTCCTCTTGTCTATTTGTGTCATTAGCTATGTTTTCATCTAAGTTGCAAATTTAATTTCTAATTCTTTTTTTATTATTATATTTATTATTTATTTAAATGCAAATTAAATTTCTAATCATTTTAAAATGCATATTAAAATTATTTTTTTATTATTTATTTGTTTAAATGGAAATTTAATTTATAATATTTTTATTTATTTATTGTTACATTTATCGTTTATTTAAATCTTCTGTAATTCACAAAAAAATATTGTAAAGCAGCATTTCTATCAAATGTGCTAATGTGCACATACATTCACATCTTTATATGCTTTTTTATGATATCCCAAGATAGAACAATTTATAATCATTTTTTATTACAACATTTATTTTTTTGTTTAAATGAAAATTTAATGTCTTATTATTTACTACATTTATTATTTATGTAAATGCAAATTTAATTTCTAATATTTTTTATTTATTATTTATATAAATGCAAATTTAATTTCGAATACATTTTTATTTATTGTTACATTAATTATTTATTTATATCTTTTGGAATATTACAAAAAAATGTTGTAAATAAAGCAACGTTTCCATCCAATGTGTTCAAGATTTAATGTGCATATTTTGTTTTTATAAGCTTTTTAAATACAATATCCCAAGATTCACAAACCAATGTTAATTTTGGACCCTTGCTGCAAAGACGCATCCCTGATGCAACCAAAAAAACAAACAAAAATCACACAGGCATGCATGTGAGTCACTTGCAAATGCCAAAGAGCACAAAGAAAAAAAACAAAAGCTGAAAATGAGGCAGAACGGTCATGTGACCAGGTCAGGCAACAGATGATTGTTTGCTTTGCAGAATGGTGATTGGTTGTTTGAAGAATGGACAGAGAGCGCAGGCGGCGGCAGGCATGACGAGATGGAAGCAGAGAGGGGGATTGTGGGTAGAACGAGGGAGGGGTGGGGACAGAAGGACGTACCTGGCTCAGGTAATTGTCCCTCCGGGAGCCCTGCTGGGTACTGAGACTAACTACACTGGCTGAACGTACCATAGGCGTCCTGTGGCGCACTTTGGTCTGAATAAAGCCGTCTTTCTCGAACTGAATCAGATCGTTGAGCGGATCCCACGGACGAGTGCTAGGACACAGAGAAACACACCGTCCTCACAGTAAACGGGACATGCTACAGTGCACTTCCTGTCCAGCAGGGGGCAGCAGCTGTTATGAAAAGAACAGGCAGGTGTGACTTACTCTGCGTAGCGGTAATGCCACTCTCCGGTGGCCGGGTCCTGCTCGAACAGAGCGGGCGTCCACTCCTCACATTTGGCCTTGCGCTCGCGTGCCGCTTTCCTCTGAACCTCCTCCAGGATGAACTTCTCATTGGTCGCCTCCGTCTGGTCCTTGTTATTGATGGCCCGTGTCACATGTTGCCACAGCCTGAAGATGACAGAGAAATACGTTCGTTTTACTAATTAGGGATGCAGAGCCCTATTAAATGCATTTTTTTTTTTTTTTAATTCTGTTTAATTTTTTCTTGATTGTTTTTTTTCCTGTATTAGTTTTTCTGTATTTGATTTAAAATTTAATTTTTCTTAAACAAAATAAATTTTTTCTGGATTCCATTTTTTATTTAATAATATAATACATTTATTAATTTAAAACAATAATTAGAGCATTAATAATTTAAAAATATTAAAATAATTTAATCATTTAAAGTTTCTGGATTCCATTTTAAATATATATTTTTTTATATAATTTTTTTTATTCAATTGTTTTTGTTTTAATTCCATTTTAAATATAATTGGTACAAAATATAAAATAATATTTCTAAATTCCTTTTTAATGGTTAAATTAACCTTTAGTATTTAAAAAGCATGTCTAATTAATTTAATTGTTTCGCAAAATCTGTGTTTTCCTTTTTATTTTTCTGGATTGAAATGGTTTAATAAAATGTTAATAATCAAAATAATGTCTAATCAAGTGAATTCATAAAGCTGCAACAATTTAATAATTTATTAAAACTTTACAATAACAGGGCCCTATAAAATGTTTTCAGAAATTCTGTGTTGTCTGTTTGATTTTTTTTTCTGGATTTATGATTTAATACAAATGTAATAAAAACTGTAGTAAACAAATGAATGCATAAAACCATGAACAATTGAATCAAAAGAAAAAATTAACAATTCTTTTAATTTCCTTTCATTTTTAGAATTAAAACATGGATGAAAAATTGTGTTATATTATTTAAAATTTAAGTTTGAATAATTGTATTATTATTTTTAGTAGTAGTAATAGTATTTTTGCAGTTTAATAGTCTTTTTGTGGATTACAATTTACAGACACTAGTCCATTTTACAGTTTGGTTAATTATACAGCCCTACTTTTGATTTATTCATCAAAAGTGGTCAAATTCCCATGACATTTTGCATTTTCTGCACTGTGTAAATCACAGGGTCCTAATAAAGCGATGAGCACCGTTACCTCTCAGACTCAAACTCGCTCTGTTCTTCAGGAGGGACGGTGCAGCGGATCAGACGGCTCTGCCTCAGCTCCGGCGTCGGGTTCCAGAACGTCTCCATCTCACCCGTCTTCTTATCATTGATGAAGACTTCACTGTCCTGTGACGGGTTCCAGAACGTCTCCATCTCACCCGTCTTCTCATCATTGATGAAGACTTCACTGTCCTGTAAAACACACACACACACACACACACACACACACACACACACACACACACACACAGA